GCGAAACTGAGCATTCATGAAACTCAAACTGTCACTAAACACAACCCTAATTGATGAAAGCGAGAAAAAAGAAAAAAGTACGCGAGTCTAGAGATACAAATCAGACAAAAACGTCAAATTCAAACAGCCACTGAACACAATCCCAACCGACAAAACAGAAAAAAGAGAGTAAAAGCACAAACCTGAGAAAGAATGCCAGCAAAGTTGGTGAGCCTGGAGCCGTGCCAGAGGAGCTTGCGATTGTGGAGCTGCTTGAATGGCTTGAAGCGCTTCTTCTCTCCGCTCCTCTCGATCTTGAACGCCTACAGAGTGAGACAGACGAGATTAGTTGCTTTTATTTAATCAGGGTTTATTACCAGTTGCAGAGAAAGGTCACAGAACAGGTCAAACTCTTAGTGGGGGCAAGGTATGTTTGTGGGGGAGAAGAAAGGAGAAGAAAAGAAAGAGAATAAGAAGGAAACAGGTAGTGATTACCATCTGAAAATAATTACTATTAACCAATAGTAATTACTAACAGGGGACAGGAGGACTGGGCAGGAGGAGGTGGAAAATCTACAATATTTCTGGTGTTGAGACAAAATATAAATATATATATAACAGTCTCCTTTGACTGCAGCAGGTATCATGTATCACATTTATAAGGTTAATAATCACCATAAAGAATTTTAATACTTCAATATCAAAAGAAATTTGAGACTTAAAAAAAAAGATATACATGTCTGCCTCTTTATCTGAGAGGCAGACAGCAACAGACAGACAGAAACTCACCTCCTCAACCACCAGCTTATAATGTCCGTGTGTGGATGCGTGAGTATTACTGACGTATTTCTTGATCATGCTGAACTCCTCTGACTTCTTGTCCACCACGTCGATCTTGGTGTTGAGTTTGCGGTAGTGCTTGTCGATCGGGTCGGCGTCCTTGTCCTCGTCACCCTCCGACTTCAGGAGGTTGTAGGCCACCTCAATCTCACTCAAATTGTCCAACATGGCCACCTTTGCCTGGGGGGGAACGGTGTAGGGGGTAAGAGCAGTTGTCACCAGTGTGATTCTTGATCAAAAAGTAAATATAATACAAGTTGTGATGGTAATGACATTAGTCATAGCAACAGTTCATAATCTTGGTACTGATGTATTATTAACCCACTCGCGCCGGGTACATTTTATTAACAGGGACGAATGGGTTAACAGTAACAATAAAAACAATAATTATAAAAATGACAAGTATTAATATTAATAATAGTAATAATAATAATAATAAAGATGATCTTCAGTATTTATTACAACTATCATTATAATCATTCTAAAAAAGAAAAAGAAAAAAAAAACATTTTTCTGCCAACTAAAATGCAACCTCTCACCTTGATAAGCTCTAGATCATCCAGGATGGGGGGTTTCTTCATGCCGAAGTCGTGGGGGATGAGGGTGAAGAAGCGGTTGGAGCAGTCGAGGAGCTGAGCCTTGATCCTGGCCTGGGCGGAAGAGGAGGCGGAGTCTGAGTCGTCATCCTTCGTGTCCTGCTTGTCACTGATGAGCTTTAGGGCTTCCGAAAGGACCTTGTAGGCATTCTCGATCTGCTTCTTGCTCAGCTTCCCAAGGGGCATCTTCTTCACGTCAATCTGTGGGGAGGAGGGAAGATGTAATTTAAAAAAAAAAAAAAAAAAAAAAAAAAAAAAAAAAAAAAAAAAAAAAAAAAAAAAAATAATAATAATAATAATAATAATAATAATAATAATTAATTGCTTACAAATTGAAAAGGATGATAAAGATTCGACTGCATTCCCTATGAAGACTGACTGTTCAGATGGAAGTTGGAAGTGATCATTAAAATGCATGATGACCAGATGGATAAAGTAAATAAAAGATACTACAGTAAATAACTGGATGGTATACAAAGCTGAAGACTTAAAACACAATTTATCACTGAGGCTGTGTTGAATCGGACTAGTGTACAAATTCAATTTATCAATTTATGAAGCCTAATTCTGAAAAACAGATGAAGGACTTGAATGCTCCTTCAAAGTAGTGAGAACAAATTCATACATCAGATATGATATATATTATTATATATAAGGACTCTTTCGCACTGCTTACCTCAAACTCAACAAGGGCATTTTTCATCGTGTCTACATCAAATATGAGTGCGACTAGCTCCTGGACTTGCTTTGGTAACTTGCTCTTTGAGCCTCCTGTGGTAGGCTTCTTTACTATCTCTTCATCCTGTAAGTATAAGCATAGAAATATACAAAAAATTGGTGTGATTTTCCATAACAATATCAAGCCTTCCTTTCTGAAGAGCGTCATATGAAATCACTTTATCCCAGCTATACTGTATTCCAAAACTATACATGCCATACTCAAAAACAAAACACCCAAGATGAGAATCACCAACAAAACCATTTTCAGTAGATCACAGTCATCCCCTCCTCCTCTCAATAGCATTCTCCTTATCAACTGGGACAAAAATGGTGGTCAAAATAATTTTAAACCAAACAACCCTAAGGATACAGAAGAATATCCACAGCCCTACACTGACCTGGCCGTAGTCGATGTCGAGTGGATACCAACAGCCAGGCACCTTGTTGAATTCCTTGGCAGAGAAGCGGTTGCCTGTCTTCTCTTCGTAGAGCCCCTCGAACTGGGCCAGGGCATCCTGCAGGTCCTCCTTGCTTTCCAGCTTGTTGTTGCCGATGGTGGTGCCAATGCGACCCCAGGAACGGAATAACCACCAACTGCGATAAGTAGCCCATGCACTTTAATGTCTTTTGACAGGATTTCAATATCTCTTAATAGGTTTTCATTCTTTCTCTTTCTTTAATTCTGTCATTTATTCATCATAAACTACGTCACATCTAGATCCCCATACCTGTTTTTCTTGTCACTCTCCAGCACTTGCAGCTTGTAATAGGAGTTGGTTCCTCGCACAATGTCCACCAAGCCCAGGACACAATTGTAGATCTTTTTGCCTCCCTTCAAGGTTGAAAAAGAGAAAATATGAACAAAGTTGTGATTCACACGCAATAACACAGCTGACTGACAGTTATAGAGGTAAATAATTCAGATATTATTTTATCAATCAGCATGTTATATTTATGTATAAATCTATCTACACAGACATACATATATTGATACCATATTCATAGTAATGTATCTATGTAATTATACTTATAGATTTTCAAAACCAATATATACAAGTACTTATATATCCATCTATATGCTCTATACATCCTTCACTATCTATCTATCCAATTATATGTATTGATGCCATTAAAACTACTAACACAGTAAAATGGACACCATTGTGCACTGTCTGGTAAATGTGACTAACTTGGTAGTGAGCTGGGATGTTTCCATTTCATTTTAAATACACATGGCTACTGAATATCTAACACTATGAAGGAGCAGGCTAATATGAGGAGCTCATCATTAGCTGAACTTGCCTTCCGCAATACAAGCCAGTTCTGAGTTAGATACTCAAAAGCTTCTGGGATTCCACCGGCACGGCCAGCAGAATGGTTGAAATTCCTATTTATGAAGGGATTTACTGAGCAAAAATGCAGCAGGGACGAGCTGCAGTCAACATCTGCTATCCTAAAGTCCACTTTGCCAGATTTGTTTAAATCATAGCTGTGAAATCACTGATGTATTGTGAATTAGGGTATCTAGAACCTTGCTAGATATCATGTAACTTGCTAGTTACAAGAAAGCCCAAAAGGAGGATCCAGACAATGATCTCCCAAAATATAATTGCTGCCCTAATTTTCTTTTCTACACTTAATAATGGTCCTTCATTCTCATGCACACACATACACACAAATAAGTACGCTGATATCACTTGCAATACAATTATGCCTAATTGTTTAGTTGACTAATATGCATTATTCCAACTTCCCATAAAAATATACTGATATTAGTTTCAACCTTTTATAATATAGATTTAGCTACATTTAGAAAAAAAAAATATTGAACTTCATTTGGGAGTTTTGGCATTTTAAAATTTGCGCTGAAAAAGTGTTTTGTTTAGTTTTTCATCCTGCTGTTTGGCACGTGGCAAATTCTATTAATAAGTATCATTGTAGAGGTGGTATCAGACTGCTTTTGGGGGCTGACCTTGAGATGGGAGGTTATCAGTCAAAACAACTTAGACCTAGCACGTAATTCCTTCATCCAAACAGAAACAAGCAAAGTAAGCCTCCTCACTCCCCCACCTGATACACATGGGCCTTGTCTTCGAGGCCAGAGTCTGGGTCGACAGCTGCTCCTCCCTTCAACTTGATCTTCTGTTTTTCCGGCATGCTCTTGGTGAATCGAGATTCTGTGGGAAAAGGAGAGGAGGTAATGGTGGCACCTGAGTAGTTTGTCAGGTTGGTTGTAAATATACTTCTAGATGTGAATTTCCACACAAAACTTCTTGTAAAATCCTTTGCAAATGAAAGCTGTGAGGATGTTTGCATTAAAAACCAATGGAAAAGAAAGTACTCATGGTCTTTGATTCCTATATTGCAACATTTATTAGAAGAGGCAATAATCTAAGGACCTGATGTCATGAACATAAAGGATGGAAACAAGATATAATTCCTTACCAAATTTAGATTTAGTTGATGACTTAGAAGCATGGACTCTGTCCTGGGGCTGTAAGAGAACAAAGATACTGTAAGCTGAATTCATGAAGTAACAAGACACTGATGTTAATAACGATATCAATAAAAAATAAAGAGACTTTTACCAAGACCTATTACCTTCAAATTGATACATATTCTAACATTCAACATTTCTCTGATGGTCAGGAGGAAAGAGACAAGTACATCTTAGGGTGTCCTACTTATTAACAAAAAGGAATTTCTAGAAACACAAAATAAATGCATAGGAGTGTCTGGCACGGATCACTTATGCCAAACCGGAGGGATAACCCGACATTCACGACCTATACACGCTAAAAATCAAGAATCATCGAATATCTCCAACAATAAGCATTCAGATGGTAAGAATTGACACACTATCGTTTTTTATACAAAATTCGCCATTTGTCTTAATCTAGACTTTCTTTCATTTAAAGTACAAAACCAAGGGATTTGGCAAAAGGCCCAATGTCTTTATCTCTTTCTCTTACAGAACAGGGAATCATAACAATATTACTCCACTGCCTTACATCATTCCGCATAAACCCATTGAAGCCAAGAGGGTATCCATACATGCCCTGTTTACTGCATCCTTTGTTTAACAACAACGATAACACAGAAGGCACCACAGTCACCAAGTAGTTAATTACTAGGCCTACCTGATATCTCACCTGCTTACCCTTTTCCTTGAATTTCCAGAATGAAAGGTGGTACTTCTATTTCCATTTGTATTATTAATACTGTCATAATGATAGAAGAATCAATAATAATAATAACAATAAATAATAATAATAACAATAAATAATAATAATAATAATAATAATAATAATAATAATAATAATAATAAATAATAATAATAATATAATAATAATATAATAATATAATAATAATAATAATAATAATAATAAGTAATAATAATAATAATAATATAATAATAATAATAATAATAATAATAATAATAATAATAATAATAATAATATAATAATAATAATATAATAATAATAAATAATAATAATAATAATAATAATAATAATAATAATAAATAATAATAATAAATAAATAATAATCAATAATAATAATAATAATAATAATAATAATAATATAATAATAATAATGATAATATATATATAATAATAATAATAATAATAATAATAATAATAATAATAATAATAATAATAATAATAATAATAATAATAATAATAATAATAATAATAATAATAATAATAATAAAAAAACAAAAACCCTTACATCGCCACCCCAGGGGGCCATGTTCTTCTTCTGGATCATGAGCAGCGCACCCCCCTTCTCCACCTCCTCCAGGAAGTCGTCGCTCACGCACTGGATGTTGTGCTCCTTGGCGGCATCGATCTTTTTGTTGGTGCCTCCAATGTGGTCTGCAAGGTGGAGGGAGGGAAGCCGGTAACATTTTGCGATCCCCTTTTGTGACCCAGGTTATATTTTCTCTGGCTATTTATTTTGCTCTTATTATCATTATTACTATTAATGTCTTTAGTACTGTTAGGACGACAATAGCAATAATAATAACAATAATAACAATAACAATAATAATATTAACATTAATAATAACAATAATAATAATAATAATATAATAACAACAATGACAATAACAATAACAATAACAACAATTACAATAACAATAATAGTTAATAATAATAACAAAAACAATAGCAACAATACTAACATCAATGTTAATATTTTGTTGCCATTTTCCTTAGACTGACAATGTTTTCATTATCCCTGCTATCATGACTGTTATTACTGATTTTGATTTTTAAAACATTATCAATATCACCATCATTATAATTAAAACAAGACTAAATTCAATTACAAGGAAAAGAGAGAGATAAAGAGCAGTAGATGAAATGAGAAAGCAAAAATGAAAGACGATAAGAAAGAGAATGAGAAAAAGAAAAGAGAGGAAAAGAGACACATAAAACCCTAGAGAAACCAGGAAAGAGAATGAGGATGAAAAATAAAACGAAAGATAGACATAGCAACAGTGAACTAGAGAAGACAAGAAAGAAAGAGAAAAAGAGAAAGAGAAAAAGAAAGAAAAAGGAGAGAAAAAAAAAAAGACAAAGGAAAAGAGGAAAGAAAAAGAAAGGAAAGAGAGAAAGATTAAGAGAGCAAGCAAGAAACGTTCAAATCCAGAACCAAAGCAAACGCAGCCACAGACCAGCAGTCGTGATGACGGCCGCTGTGTCCTTCTCCACTTTGCTTGCCACTTCTCCTCCGAGTTCCTTGATCTTATTCTTCATCTCCTTCTTTTCCATTCCAAACTTGTCCCCGACGATGACGAACTTCATGCCTTCAAGCGGTTTACCAGAGGTCGACATGGATGAGCTGGGATGCGGAGGAAGGAACAAATTAGAGCTCAGGTGATCTTTGCCAGAAGTCAACCACATCCTCATACCCAGGTGCAATGATTCAAACTGGGGCACTAGCTTGAAGGGGTGACTGGCTCAGAGAGATCTTTAAATATGCTTTAACAATTAACAACTTAAAATCTAGCAATTATAGTCTTATTCTGCATATTTCAGGTCAATTCTAATGAACCTGGGAATGTTTAGAAGATAACACTGGGGCAGCACCTGTGTTTGCACAGCCACACCATTACGTCATGTATTCTGAATACTATTTGTTTGACACTGATTACAAAATACGTATACAGCTATGATATATCTTTGTAGCTTTTGGTGAAGAGTACTTTTTTTGTGTAACTGATTTCAAAACTTCAGCTTCAATTTATACTCTTCAGAAACTATACAATACTTTTCAAAGTTTTTGATCTGTAGTTTTCAATAAATAATATCAATTACATAATCACAAACATAGTCATAATAATCAACTCACCCATTTTCTGTCTTCACGGTCAATTCAGCAGTTGACGGCCCATGGTCAATCCACACTCTCTTCTGAATTCCTTTGAATTTATACTGATTCCTAAAAAATACAAAAAATCACAAAATATTTACTTACTTTTCTTTTTAAAAAATGCAAAATACACATGAAAGAATTAGAGCTTAGCATAATATCTGGAGCACCAACATGAAAAACAAGGAACTATATCTCTTTACTCACAGGAAGTCAAAGTTATTTTTCAGCTCTTCTGGTATCTTAAACGGACGGCGTTTCGGCTCCTTGACTAAGTTAGTGCATTTTGTCCACTCGGTGAGGTTGCCATGGCACTTGTAACCTTTACCAGACCTTGGATGAAGTGGAGGAAATAATGCTGATTATAATTAAGTTAACTGAAATGAGTCCGACTTTCATGTGTGATGACACAAAACATTTGCAGAACACTAATGTTTATTGAGGTAACAATATCAAATTGAATATTTGTAGAAAAACAATGTTTACTGTGGTAATTACAGCAAGCATACATGCATGCATGTATGCATGTGTATTCACACACATGAACACATACACACACATTCTCTTCCAATCAAAAAGCATAGCAGAGAATTTATTGTTCCTTACTCGTAACTGAGACGTCCATCCGGGCACACCTCACAGGGCTCAAGGGCACCAAATGTCATTCCATCAACAATGACATCCAGCATCTATCAATAACGATAAAACATAGAAAATAAACAAAACTAAAATGAAAAGAATTGATTGTTATCAATTAGTTTATCTTTCACACAAAAATCTACATTTCTTATATTTAGCACAATTTCCCCACACTTCACTTCCTTTTTCCTATACTCCTTAAAAAAAAACAAGAAAAAATTAGTCTAATATCAAAATCCTCACACAAAAAAAACTTTTATGTTGTTGTTTTTTCAATGTTCCCTACAAAAGTCTTCTTTCAGCATCAAATCCTACACACCCTCAATGACACTCATCCCCTTAAAAAAATATTTAAACGTTAACATCTTACCTTTTGCAAAATTCCATGGCTCGTACCTTGCTTTCTCTATACTCCCCCTATTCTTGAAATGACTTCAGCCAACACAATGTACCTACTGACTGACAGGTTTAAAGTCAACAGTCATCTCAATTATTGAGATTACAAACTCAATCAAATGCCACCTTGCTCCTACTTTCTCTTTTCTTCCCATTCCCCTTGTCCAACATGTCTGCCTCATCAAAGCTTAAAATCCTCAAAACAAAGACAAAAATAAAATAAAATAATAATAATCCTAATGTCATGACCCAATCCCTCTTCACACAAGAAGAATCTTCCCAGCCTTACCTTGCTATCCCCAGTGGGCATGTACTGGTCATTGTGCTCCAGGATGTAGCTCAGCTCCTTCTTCTTCAGAAGCTTGGCAAGGTTGTCTCTGTACTTGAACATAGTCTTGCTCTGCTTTCGAACTGTTTCCTCTTCTTCTGTTTTAATCTTCTTTGGCGCACAGTCAGGCTCATCTTCTGCCTTCCTCTTCCTGATGTGGTGTTCAGAAGGAAGTTTAGTACACTAGATAAAACGGTTACAGAATGGAGGGTAATCATTCTATCATGCTATCATTATTTCCATTGATTAAGTAACAGTTAAAGGGACTGTCTGCCAAAAAGCCCTTGTTCTCAATTACACTTTAAGAATGTGATGTGATTTCTTTACTGACTGTAGATCACACAACTATACTTCTTTTAAGCTAAAGTTTTTAAGTCATCTCCAAAGGCAATAGCCACCCCTTTCTAAACGCTGAAAATTTGCATAATTTTTTTTGTAGGGCATAGGGGAGTGAATAGAAATATTATCATAAAAACTACTAATCTTTGCCAATGGATTGTGGTCTTCAAATTTTGTAAATTCCTATAAATCAAGGCACTATTTTCCCTAAAATAAAGCAAAAAACTGCCTTACATTTCCCTTACATTTTTATTTTAAAAGATCTGATAGTGACGGTTCAGCGAAATTTGAAATGTCTTTCCAACAAGAGAAAGGACGTTGAAATTGGATCAACCCTGTTGGAATTATTGGCCCCGACCCGCGAAAATCTGACTGGTGGTATGGTGTAATATGAAACAAAATGCAAAAAGATCCATTATAGAAACCAGCATTTCTTAATTCCCTCCGATACCAATACCAAATATCTATAATAAGTAGATATATAATTGACACTCCTTTTAGGTGGATCACTTGGCTCATTTGCCATCATTACCCAATACCAATCGTGTTCTATGGTATATTATTCATACATACTCATCTTGATGCATTTTGAATGATTCAGCAGTACGCAATGTGACTAAAACAGGCCCAATAATTGGTATCATTCATTATCAGAATAACATTTTCAAAAGAGTCAATAATATAATGAAGGAGGCTTAGCTAATGCCAGACAGCAAGAGCAAAAGAAGTATATCAGGCGCCTATCAGTCATGGGTGAGATTTTTCGTGTATGTGTATGGAACTGTCC